TTAAATAAATCATTTTCCCATTGTTAAAAGACCCACATTGAAGCCTAATAGCCACAATTCTGCTCTCTGTTCCCATAAGTTCATCATTTCTAGGTTACACATTAAATTGAAATTGTGTGACATTTGTATTCCAGTGTGTCAACTTATTTTGTTTTTTACAATAATAGCAGTATGTTATGCATCAATAGCAGCAACAGCTTTTCCAGGTTCTGCAATCATTTGAACAAAATTGTAGAGACATCCAGCACACTCCATTTAAAAACAACAACAAAAAAAGTAAAAAACAAAACCCCAGAAAACAGCACAGTTCTGTTACTCTTGTGGTACTTGGCACCATTTTTTTTTTAAATTAGCTTCTCAGTCATCATCTGGGAGGAAACCATTCTGAGCAACATCATTAAAAACAGCTCTGATAAAGCATAGTCACTACTATGTATCATAAAGCAGGTCCACATATGAATGAGTACATATCATGCTTGTTTTTTTGTGATTGGGTTACCTCCCTCAGAATGGTTTCTTCGAGTTCCATCCATTTTCCTGCAAATTTCAAGATTCCATTGGCCAAGTAACATATAAAGGCAAACCTGGAATTTTCCTCAATTTTAATGACAAACTTACCCATCAAAAGTCAAGATTTATTTGCATATCTCTTACAGTAAAAGAAATATTAAAATGAACTTAAAAAATAGGTAGGTACCTTAATTCTGAAAGTATAATTCTCAATATGGCAAATTTAACTAAATAACAATTTTTAAAATTACCTCCTGCTAGTTGCTCATTTCCTTGATTTCATTTGCCATTGATCTAACTCAACATGGGGGAGGGTTACATTCGTGCAAGTTAGCACAGCTTAATGGTTAACTACATTCATCTGCCAGCTGTGTGCACATTGCAAACAGTTGTGTATATAAAGTCAAAAGGTTCAGGTCTCCTTATAGGAGAAATTAGTTCCAAACTGCTTGAAATTGGATAATTGGGGAAAAAATGTACACAATTAAAATATTTCTTTTTATTGTTCCTCTAGTAATTTCTTCCAGAATTGAACCAGACAACTCATCATTTGATTCTGTATCTCCGGAGCCAAAATCAAGATTTGCTATGTTAGATGATGTCAAAATTTTAGCTAATGGCCTCCTTCAGCTGGGACATGGACTTAAAGATTTTGTCCATAAGACTAAAGGCCAAATTAATGACATATTTCAGAAACTCGACATATTTGATCAATCTTTTTATGATCTATCAATTCAAACCAACAAAATCAAAGAAGAGGAAAAGGAACTAAGAAGAACTACATCCAAACTACGAGTCAGAAACGAGGAGGTGAAGAATATGTCACTGCAACTCAACTCAAAACTTGATAGCCTACTAGAGGAGAAAACTGCACTTCAACACAAAGTCAGTGCTCTGGAGGAGCAGCTGAGTAATTTAATTCAAAGCAAACCTGGGGCTCAGGAGCACCCGGAAGTGACATCCCTTAAAGTAAGTAGAATCACAGCATTCTGTTTTTGATGTGGGTTTTTTAAAATACATTTTTAAGACATACTATTTTAAATACTCTGCTTCATTACTAAAATATTTAGTATTTTGCAGAAAGAAATTTTCCTAGGAAATAAAATTTTCCATAACTTCAATTCAGGTTTTGCTTGAAAAGAGCTAAAATTTATATTTCATATGATAATTAAATGTCAGTTAAGTAATAAAATTTATAATGTTCAGCTATTATGTTATTACTAGAGGCAAAAATATAAAATAAATTTAAAACCATTCTTCCATGAACAAAAATAGATTAATATAGTATATGGTATATTCTAATTCCTTTGAAGCATTGTTTCTTTTTGTTTGTTTTGTTTTTAGAGACAGGTTTTCTCTGTGGCTTTGGTAGCTGTCCTGGAACTAGCTCTTGTAGACCAGGCTGGTCTCGAACTCACAGAGACACGCCTGCCTCTGCCTCCCAAGTGCTGGGATTAAAGGCATGCACCACCACTACCCAGCTGAAACATTGTTTCTTTTACTTTAAATAAAACTCAAAAATATTTTGATGTGACAATTTTTAAATATAAGAATAAAAGTATATATTATTTGAAAAAAACATAGGACAATGACAGCCAATGTTCACTTTTCTAATCCACTACTAGTTTAAAATTAGATGACTGTTACAAATAAATAAAAACTTAAAAAGACAAAGGAAATTTTAAACAAACTACAATCTGTGTTCAGAGTTTTGTAGAACAGCAAGATAACAGCATCAAAGACCTCCTCCATACTGTGGAAGAACAATATAAACAACTAAGTCAACAGCACAGTCAGATAAAGGAAATAGAAAGTCAGGTAAGTCAGCCTAATGTTATGTTGGATCTGTTTCACTGACTGATGTAAACACAGGCTGTTAGGACAGCACTCCACCACTAATCATCTGCTTGCAAAACTGTCTGTGCAACCTGTCTTGTGGTTTCCTCACATGTCCTACAGAAAACAGCAGAGCCTATCAAATACAACTGCAAGGAAAAGGATCCATAACTGATTCCAGTAAAGTGACCCTATTAAATCTTAAATCAGGTCGTGAATCTGTTCTCCTCACAACACTTCCTATTTTACTCACCATCACTCCCAGAACCTGTGGTGACCTGGCCCTTCATCATCTTACTGACTTCATCTCACTGGCTTCCTTGCTGTTCCTCAAGTGCATGACACACGCTGCCCCCAAGGCCTGTCTGTGTGGTCTCTGTCTAGAATGCTCTTTTGTCAGGTATCTGCACTTCTCATATACTTTCATCAGATACAAAATGTTCAATGAAGCTGCGGCAGGCCACTGAATCAAAACAGAAGGTCTCCCCCAGAACCACTACATTATGATTTTCTCCTCAACATCTTTCTTTACATTTAGCCCAAATATAAAGCTATTTCTTGCTTATCCCTGAATTAAAATGGAAGATCTATAAACCTGGGATTCTTTTTCTATTGCTTTATTTACTAAAATCCTTCATACAAAATACTGTACAACACATAGTAGACACTCAGTATTTGAACTGACCATGGCAATATCATATTCAGCACACAGAAGTTAATAAAGTTGGTGGAGATTATGACCCATACTGTTGGAAAGAGAATATATTCAAGTATTTTAAGCAAAGCATATAGCCTTACTGGTTCTTTTCCTTCTAATCAATGTCTCTCTTGTTTTGTTTGCGTCATTCTCTTAATTTTGTTATTCATTAAATAATATGCTTGATTAAAAGTCTCAAGGACAGAATGTCTCTACATTCTGGAAAGCACTGTTTATTCCTCTTTGCTCCCTTGTAGAGCTGGGGTCAGACCTTTGCGAATGCTCAGCAGGCACTCAGCCACCATTCAGCTGTATCTCCAGCCCAGTTTATTGCTCTTAACATTGAAAACAGTAACATTATAAACTGAAAGACAACGCATGAATAATTGTACTTTTGATATCCTTAGCCAGAATTCCCTAATTATATACCCAATAGCATTTTAAAAGTAGATTTATATTCTTTTATCAGCTCAGAAAGACTGGTATTCAAGAACCCACAGAAAATTCCCCTTCTTCTAAATCAAGAGCACCAAGAACTACTCCCCCTCTTCAGCTGAATGAAACAAAAAATATAGAACAAGATGGTAAGATAATTTGGTGGATTTTCTATATAAAATTCACCATTTTTAGGAACTAATCTAGACTAAAAGAGTAAAAAGACATATATATCAAATGTCATCACCAAATGTCAACTTAATTGGATCCTGTATTTTTTAACATTTAACACTATATATGGCATTAAGATATGAAGCTGATACAAAAACATGGAATGATTATTAATTTCATAGGTAGAAAATGATACTGTGGTATAGAAAAGGAATGTTTATAAAGTTCATGTTTATAAAGACAATTGGAAAACTATACAAGGGGCCAAAGGTAATTATTAAAGGTAATTAAAAGGTAATTAAAAATTACTTTCAAAAGTAACAAACAAAATACATTCATGTGTATAAAGAGAAGAAATACACTTGTAAAAATTGAAAGATTATGGAATTTTCTTCAAACATTCTACTTTCCTATCTGCTTAAAATCTTTCACAGATATAACAAAGGTTCCAGGGAACAAAATCAATTATTTCCAGCCAGACTTCAACAAAATGATATGTTGCCAAAAGTTATTTTTGTTTATGTAATTCACATAAGAAAAATACCTGTTAGCTCTCTTCCTGTACCTTCACTGCTTCTACACATCTGTTGATTCTAATTATGAACCAAACCCTGTACTAAACATCCGCTACTTAATAGTCTTACTGTGCCTAACAAAAATAATAATACTTTTTAAAATTCTCACTTGTGGATTTTCTTCTAAATAAGTTGGAAATGTTATTTTAATGTTATTTGGATAGTTTGCCGTCAAATAAACATGCCTTAACATAAACATTACTGAACATTCATAGCAATTCCATGAAGTAGCATTGAAATTTCAAGCTCCAAAAATATTTCTATTCCTAAATATTACATTATTATGTTTGTTAATTCTAGACTTTCCTGCTGACTGCTCTGCCATTTATAACAGAGGTGAACACACAAGCGGTGTGTATGCCATTAGACCAAGCAACTCTCACGTATTTAATGTGTACTGCGATACCCAATCAGGTAAAGCCTGCCTAAGCAGAGAATGGGCTGGAATAATTCAACATACTCAGCGCCTATTCAAGACTAAGCCTGTTATCAACCCATAGAATGTGATTATTCATGCAAATGTTGGACCAAAATAAATAATAAAGTACATTTTCTTGACTAAAAGTATCAAAGTCACCAATAAAAACCAAACTCAAACCATGATCATTATTCCCGTCAATTATTAATCTACTAAAAATAACAACATTCATTCACACCCCCCAGGTAGTCCATGGACACTAATTCAACACCGAAAAGATGGGTCACAAAACTTCAATGAAACGTGGGAGAACTACAAAAACGGTTTTGGGAGATTTGCCGGTAAAGTGATTTCCTTGCATTACTCATTTATCTGTTAATTTAACAGTATTAACTGGATAGGCCTGAGACCTTAATACTGAGGAAGTGGGGGGTTGGAATGAGGCAGGAGGATTAAAGAAAGTTCAAGGCCAGTCTAAGCCAAGGGGGAAAAAAAAAGAATTATAAATTAAGAAACAATTATAAAGTGGGCAGTGGAACTGTGAAAATAAACAAGAAAACCCCAGCCTTCATAAAACTGATTGATAAATATTATACATATTAGTATTTACAATTATTTTAATTGTACTTATCACTATTACATGTCTCTTCTTAAGTATGCTTGTTAAAATTTAATTCATAATAATCATAATTGTTATTAAGGAAAATAGTAAGTTAAGTTCTGTGGGCTTTACAGAGTGGGAAGGCTAAGAATGAGCTGCAATGATAGCATAATAGTACTCTTCCATTTAAGAATTAAGTAATGCAAACTTAAAATGGAGCTGGAGGTATACTTGGGGCAGAGCACTTGACTAGCATGACACTGGGATGGAAGGAAAAGAATGAAACAGAATGGATAGCAGAACCATCAGAGATACAGTATCTCACTACTTAAATACTCATTTTATTTTATTCAAGCATTACAAATATATACTACACAACTGTTGTTCTCGGTGATATAGTTGATACAGAATATTCTATTTTGATCACAAAACTAAACTATACAAATAAGCAAAAGAATATGAGATAAAGAGATACTTAAAATCCAAACACACATAATGGATATTTGTTAATGTGTAAGTACTCACTTATAAAGTAGAATGCATCTGTTATTATACCAAAATTTTCAAGACTCAGTAGTACTTGACTATTTTTAAAATTCTCTATTTACCTGGACACATGGGGGAGGGCCTAGGCCCGGCCCAGGATGATGTGGTGGACTTTGGGGAGCCCCTGTCGAGAGCCCTACCCTGCCTGGGGAGTGGAGGGTGGATGGGGTTGGGGGTAGGTGGGAGGAGGGGGAAAGGGTGGGGGAGGGGAGGGAGAAGGGATTGACATGTGAAGCAAGCTTGTTCCTAATTTGAACTAATAAAAAAAATTTTTTTTTAATTCTCTATTTACAGTACGAGTTAAATCTCTAAAGAGAAGGCCTATTCAGTGATATTCTGTAGTTCTAACCTCTTCTGAGACTGAGTTTAACACTAAAACAAAAGACCAACAGTTCAAAATACTCATTTATCTCTAATCAAAAAATAATTGCATTTATAATCCTTAAGTGAAGTTTCCTAACTCAACAGCAATAACAAAATATTTATTTTTTCATTAAATATAGGTTGTATAATGATCTACTCATATTACTGCTGCTTTTAATTCCAAATGAAAATAGTTTTAATTATAGAGAAAAATATTAATAACAAAACATTCAAATCTAATGTTTTCTTAATTTATGAGATTCTTTTTCTATTTAAAAAATTAACTTTATATTTGAGAAAAATATCATCACTATTATCCAAAACTGAGTATATGAACACATTCTTGTGACAGAATATAGGCATATTAATAACCCTCTAATATATATATAAGGAGGTACAAGTGAGGTATGACTCCATCAATGACCAAACCTAAAAATATCTATAGTAATGCCTCATATATAAAACATTTTGTAAAAACATTTTTGAAGCAAGGTTGGGGTTTATCAAGACAAGATTTTAATATAGACTTAACACAGACTTATTAACAAGGGAGAAAAAGTCACACGTAAAAAATGGACAGTTGAACTGGGGTTATAGTTCAGTGGGACAGTATTCCCCAATGTGCATGAAGTCAGATTCAGTGCCCAGACCTCAAAGTAAGAAAAAAATCAGAAACAGAGGGGAAGAGAAAGAGAGGGACAGTACATATACTTAGACACAGACATGTGTTTCACAAAAGTGCTCATTAAATAAAGTTTTAGAAAGGATTTGTTTTGGGTTTTTGAGATAGGGTCTCGTGTTGCCCAGGATGGTCTTAAACAGCTTTGTAGCTGAGGACTGTACAATTCTTTCTGTCCCACCTCCACATTACAAGATACTCCCAAGTATCCACATTACAAGAATACACCACAACACCAATAGTATACATGCTTTACAAGACTTCAAAGTAACCAAGAACTAAAATGACTCATTTACTTCAATGAATTAAAAATAACTGTAAAAACTGGCCAGGGAACATGACTGTACATACCTGTAACCACAGCACTGGAAGGCCTGAGACAGGAAGATCTCAACTTTGAGGCCAGCCTGGGCTAAACAGTGAGAGTCTGGCACATGCATACACAAAGACAAACGAGTCAGTTAGGACCTGATCTGTAGTTAACAATAATACACAGTGGTTTCTTTCCACCCCAACTTTTTTCTTTAGGAGAATTTTGGCTGGGCCTAGAGAAGATCTATGCCATAGTAAAGCAGTCTAACTACATCTTGCGACTTGAGCTACAAGACTGGAAAGACAGCAAGCTCTATGTTGAATATTCCCTTCGCCTTGGAAATCATGAAACCAATTACACGCTACATGTGGCTGAGACTGCTGGCAATGTCCCTGAGGCACTCCCAGAACACAGAGATCTGATGTTTTCTACATGGGATCACAGAGCAAAGGGACAGCTCTACTGTCCAGAAAGTTACTCAGGTATTTTATTAACGCCAATACTTTTTCTTCAAAGTATCCCCCTACACTTTTAACTATTACCTATAATATCAATTCTTAACAATACTAATCTCAAATAAGCATTCTCTCCAAAGATAAAAATCTGTGGTTGTAGTTTTAAGTGCTAACTCTGGTTAAGCTGGCTATTTTACCTGTGATTCTCCTCAGACAATCTACTTTGATAGAGTTACACAAATTAATTAATATTGGATACATCCACCTACAATAGAGTATCATTTATATGATTTAAGGATATAATCATGAAAAACATCTAACAGCTACCAGACAGGAGGCATTATCCAATTAAATCACACATCTCTCTTCTTTAGGAGGCTGGTGGTGGCATGATGTATGTGGAGAAAACAACCTAAACGGTAAATATAACAAACCCAGAGCCAAATCTAAGCCAGACAGGAGAAGAGGAATCTATTGGAGGCCTCAGAATGGAAAATTACACTCTATCAAATCATCCAAAATGATGATTCAGCCTACCAATTTAAAAAGCTTTGAATGAACTGAGACAAATTAAAAGGCCAATAAAGTAAATATTAAAATCCTCCTAGATTACTGTAACATAATAATCTAATATTAAATCTTGAATGTAAAGCTTGAGAAATGAATTTTCAATTAGCTTTAAAGTCACTGTTAAGATTAGACATCAGCACATCAACTTAACACCATTTGTCTTTCCCAATAAACCCTCGAACAGTATCATTTGTTCATGTTCCAGATGTGGAAATCAATTTAAGAAGGTTCAAACCAGCTGGGTGTGTTGGTGCACACCTTTAATCCCAGTACTTAGTAGGCAGAGACAGGCAGATCTCTGAGTCTGAGTCTAGCGTGGTCTATAGTGTGTGTTCCAGTACAGCCAGGGCTAAACAAAGAAACCTTGCCTTAAAAATCAAAAAACAAACAAAAACATGGTTCCAATCTATATCATAACTAAGGGGCAAATTCTAAAACATCCTTATATTAAAAACCTTAAAATGTCAACTTCAAAAAAGTACATTTTTTATGTTAAACTTCAAAAAGTGAATTTTGCAAGTTCTCAATGCCATTTTACTAGTTTCAGAATTAAATTCAGTCAATTGAATTTACATACACATCTGTAATATGAACTTTTAAAGTTATGCTTCATTATGCTACAATATGATGTGGAGTAAACGATTTTTAAGGATATCACATACAGCTGAGTGTAATGGTGGGTTTGCACCAGGCCTACATCTGCCAACGTGGTAAGTCTGGATTATCAAGTCATACTGACTTTTCAGTGTAAAGAATACAGTAACTTAGCATATATTTAGCCTATCTACCCTGTGAACATTTTACATATTTCAACATCTAATACTGTGATAGTAATTTTAAGTGCCATTTGTCAGAATAAAATAAAAATGAATGCCTTTGTAGCATTAAATAGAAGTTTAATAAGAATTTATTATCCTTAGGCAGGATGTAGACCTAACATTTTGTGCATTTTTAAGTAGAATTAAAAGTCATTATAGATTATCAAATATTTTAAAGCCTGATAGGTATGTATGTTTAAAACATCATAGACATGACATTACAATAAGAATATGATTGTCTCTAAAAAGTAATTCAAACTTTAACTCCCCAAGGATCCTTGGATACAAGTATTTATATCATAACACCACCTGTTAGCGCTTGTTTCAAAGTTTTTACTCTATGGTTATAAGATCATATGTTGCTCTTAGAAGTGCCTACATTGGGGGTCAAAACCACCTGAAACTCCAGCTTCGGTGGATCCAGTGCTGCCTTCTCACCTCCAGAGGCACACGGACACAAGTCATACGCACATACACATAAGCATAAATTAAAAATGTATCCTTTTATTTATTTTTATTTCATGTGCATTGATGTTTTGCCTGCATGTATGTCTGTGGAGGGCGTCTGATTCCTTGGAACTGGAATTACAGACAGTTGTGAGCGGCCATGTGGGTGCTGGGAATTGAACCCAGGTCCTCTGGAAAAGCAGTCAGTACTCTTAACCACTGGGCCATCTCTCTAGCTCCAG